AAATAATTTCAACAAAACCAGAGCAGAAAATCTCCTTAAATTATGAAAAAAAATGCCAAGTAGAATATAAGAGACATTTAGAAGACTAAGCTGACAAGACCAGAAAAGAACCTCCCCACTCATATTACAATTAAACAAGTTAATATACAGAACGCACAATGCTGAAGGCAGAAAGACACATTAAGACAGGCAAATCAGAATAATAGCACATTTCCCAAAAGAAACCACAGAGACAGGAGAGCTTGGAGTGTTTTTCAAGTTCTGAAAGAAAACAGCTGCCAACTCAAACTCCTACTATACCCAGCTAAGATATCAGACAGAATAGAAGTAGGAAGGAAAAATTTCTATGATTAAGAACATGCTTAAGGAATTAATAATCACTAAAGCATATCTACAGAAGTTCCATTAAGGAATATTTTCAAGTGAAGAGAAAGACAAATACTTTCATGGGTCTACAGGAGAGAAGAAATCACACCATAGCAGGTAAGGAAGAGAAGACTGGTAAAGCACCAGATACTACAAAGTCATAAAATGACAAGCTAATACATACCTTCCAATAATAACTCTAAATATTAATAGTTTCAATTCCCTAATCACTTACAGACTACAGACTATCTGACTGCATTAAAAGGCAGAATTCATTCAAACCTTTTTTCCAATTACTTTTAATTATATTCAAGATAAAAGGTTTCTCTATACCATTCATTCATGGGCAGATAATACTGATCTCAGAAGTCATGAGTTATTAAATAAAAATCCTAAGGCCAAGTATTCAGTACCTCCCTAAGAGGTATTAGCCAAAGGTCCCATGGGTTCACAAAAGTATACAGGTGGCAGTCATTGCCCTTGGATGCCTGCCAAAACTAAGTGTTAGGACCTTATTGTTATTGCTGGAGATACCAGCACTTTGATTATAAAACACAAAGAAACCACTCTGGGACTGATCTGGAAGATTTTTTTCTCATGCTTAGTTGACATAATTTCTGAAGATGCTAGGAAGTTGGGAGAATAAAACTCATCCATAGTCTTTTCAGTTTTGAAATTTGCATGCTACAATCACAACTTGCCAGGAAAGACATGTTTACTTGTCTTAGATCTAATTATGACATAGCTCTAATTGAGGTTACCCAACTGACTCTGATTTGATATAAGGCCTGTTCCACAGGAAGAATTTAATTTTTCAGACATTTTCCATAGCATAGTATTGAGGTCTTAGGAACTAGTTGTGAACTTAATACTTTCATTTTACTAAATAGAGCAGGTTGACAATTGTTTGCTAAATAGCACAGGTTGTGGAACTGCACTCTGAATATTTATGTCTATACCTAGACTAATGATGTCTTCAGCCTTGAGCAAAGAAACTTCTTTTTTCAGTGAACATTAGTTAACACAGAAATTCATGGCCGGTCAAGTACTGAGAAAAAGTGACTGCTAAGTGTGCAGGTCAAGGTTTCAAGAATAAATGACTGCTAAGTGTACACCAAGATCCTGAAAATGAGTAACTGCTAACCATGCAGCCCTAAATGGGAGATCAATATCCCTTTCTCTGAGGCTCAGGGAATTTTGCAGTGAAAAACCCCCGATTAGGGGAGACTCTCACTCGAGCCTCGGGATGACGTGAACCCCCCCAGTAACTCACGAGAGACTGTCCTTGCTGCAATCACACGAGGTTTAATGACAAGACGACAAGACAGGGACCAGTGCACTGGGGCCGAGACTCATAACCCACGCAGGGGAAGAGTTCGACCCTGAGTGACCGGGAGAAGTAGTTTTTATAGGAAGAAACCATGCAGCCCAGTAATCCGAAAGGGGGGCAGAGAGGGTGTCACAGAAAATTCCGAAAATTCCAGTGATGATTACAAGGGGGCAACTCCTTGCTTCTCAATATCATTCTCAAGGTCATAATCAGCTAGTTCCTATACCAATGATAATTACTAGGGGGTGATAATTACTAGGGGGAATCTCCCTATTTCTCAAGATTACTCTCAAGATTACAATCTACCTTTATCTTCAGCTAGTTCCTGAAACCCTGAAATTGGCTAATCCTAGATTTCTGATTCTTCTCTTCCTGCTAGATTTTTGGCTCTGTTTTCCTGCTAGGGGGATCTGGATTTATCCAGGTCTTTCAGCAGAAGAGAAATAAGAAAGAAATTAAGAGCCAAATGATGGGTAAATGTTGTCTTATGACTATGGCATGGTCATGTCATTCCTAAACTTACAGAAACTACAGACACTTGCACAGTAGCTGCTCAAAACTGAGGCCATAAACATTCAGTCATAGATGTGAGAATGGATTTTGGGGAACAGACACACCTATTAGAGCAACTAGTAATCAAAACCTTCTGGATAGAGTAGTCATTTTCTTCAGTGATGTACCTGTTATGCCCAAATCTGTAATCCCCGAGAAGCTGACAAGGAAACCAAGAGTCCCCTATGTAAAAGCAAAGAGCCTTTATTTTAATCAAGTTTGCAAACTTGGTCTCCCCGCATGTCCAATGTATTGGAATAACTGGAGAGTCCCAAGCTCAATTAAAATAGAGTTTTATAGTAGTAAATGTGGGGGTGAGGGGTTTCTGAGGTTTTAAAACCCCTGATTGGCTGGCATTCATCTAGGGTTTCCTGGTGACTGGTAGTTGCAGGTGTTTATATCTACAGTACTTGGAATGCCAGGAATTCCCTTTGAATGGTCTATTCTTGAATGGGGGATCCAGTGATCCCAGCTTGTGGTTTCTCCTACAGCCCGGCTTTGTCTCAGGGTAAACAATTGAGACTCAAGCCTCTATTGAAATTCATTGATGGCCAGAGTCGCTGGTGATAATGGTTAAAGGAAGTAAAGACTTAGATTATCATGGCTGGATAAAGTACCCACTGGTAAATTACTCTTAGCCTGACACTTATGCCCAAGTAGGTGACCCTAGTTAAACCCACTGTATCACAGTGGGGAGATGAAAAGAAAATTCAACAAAGAAATATGGTCACTAGAGAAAACTCAAACTGAAATAAAACTGGAAATGAAAAATTTAGGATATCAAAGAAAAACATGAGAGGTAAGCCTCATCAATGGATTACAAGATATAGAAGAGAGGATCTCAGTCATTGAAGGTAAGGTACAAGAAATGGATAGCTCAGTCAGAGAAAATGCTAAATCTAACGCCCCCCTCACCCCAAAAGACCAGGGTAAATCCAGACCCCGTCTCCTAGCAGGAAGAGTAGAGCCAAAAATCTAGGTTGGCCAGTTTAGTGACTTTGTTCCAGGAGCTGACTGACCACAAAGTTAGATTATAATCTTGATGAACAATCTTGAGAAACGGGGAGTTGCCCCCTTGTGATTATCGCTGGTATTTTCAGAATCTTCCAATGACACCCTCCCTACCCCATTTGGGTTGTGGTTTCTTCCCTTAAATACCCCTTCTCCTAGCTACTTGGGGTCGAACTCCTCTACCCCTGCGTGGGATATGAGTCTAGGCCCTAGCACGCTGGCTCTTGTCAATAAACCTCGTGTGATTACAGCCAGGATGGTCTCTCATGAGTACTTGGGTGGCCGTGTTATCTCGAGACTTGAGGGAGAGTCTCCCAACTCCAGAGGTCTTTCAGCCCCCCAAAAAATACAGGCACAAACATCCAAGAAATCTGGGAAACTATGAAAAGAACATACTTGCAAATAAAATTATAGAGTGAAAAAAGAAACCTATCAATGGCACAAAATATTATTTAGTGAAATTATAGAGAAAATTTCCCCATCAAAAGAAAATGTCTATCAAGATATAAGAAGCATACAGAATGCCAAATAGCCAGGACTACAAAGAAATTCCCCACAACACGTAATAATCATAACCCTAAATATACAGAACAAGGAAAGAATATTTAAAGTTGCAAAATAAAAAGACCAAGTAACATATAAAGGTATGCCCTTAAAAATAAAACCTGGCTCCCCAGTGAAGACTCTAAATGCCAGAAGAACACAGAGGGATATTCTACAAATGCTGAGAGACAACAGGCAAAACAATTAATCACTAAAGAGAAAGAAAGTATTCAAAGATAAAACCATATTTAAGTGATTTCTATCAACCAGCCGAACTCTGTC